CCAGAGCGGGCAGAGGGGCAGGATCCCCTCCCTGCCCTGTGCCCACGCTGCTGGGGGGGCAGCCCAGGCTGGGGGGGCTCCTGCCCAGCTCCTCACCCCCAGCACCCCCAGGTCCTTCTCCCCAGGGCTGCTCTCCAGCCCTGCACCCCCAGCCTGGGCTGGGACCAGGGGCAGGACCTGGTTGAACCTCAGGAGGTTGACATGGACCCACCTCTCCAGCCTGTCCAGGTCCCCCTGGGTGCCATCCTTCCAACACATCTGCAGAGACTGAGATGAGGAGCAGGGTGGTGCCACCCCAAGCAACTCAAAGGCAGGCAAGGGATAAAAACAGACACATTGAGAAGAAGTTGCTGGTCTCCCACAGAGGGGGGTTAAATAAACTTCAGGTCCCAGCAGTTCCTCAAGCTCTTTGTTGCAGGAAGACACCCCAGCACTCAGGAGCTCCTCAGGAAGGACCAAGCACCCAGACAAGAGCTTTGAACCACTTGGCTTTAGGGTGGGATTGAGCTGAAGATTTTATCAGCATCTCCTCACCAAGAACAGATGGGCCCAACCCAGGAGATCTCCTGGAGCACCCTGTGCAGCATTTCCCAGCCTGTTTTGGCCCAAAGGAGCCAGGATTGCTCAGGGTGGAGGGGGTTGTAGCCTCACAGCAGGAAGCTTTGATGTCTCTAAGCCTTCTGGTGAAGCCCCCAGGTCCTTGTGTCAGGAGCTGGGGGAATGGCTTTGCCAAAAGACCCCACAACAGGGATTTCTTTGGGTGTCCCAGCAGCCTCTCTCCCACAGGGACTATCCCAAAGTCCCTTGGAGCTGCACCAACTGTTTCAAGAGCACCTTCCTCCAAGGCTCAGGGCCAAGGAAAGCTGGCTAGGACATCTTGATAAGGTTTTCTTAGTGCTTCTGGAAGAGGAAAGAGGCAAGCAGACCTCAGCAGGGCAGACAGGAGGCAAATCCAGGAGTCCAGCAGCATCTGCAGCCCCTGCTCAGCCTGCCCAGGATCAGAGGTGAGTGTCCTCCACAGCTCTGCACCTCTCAGTCTCCCCCAAGCCTGTCATGTTGCTCTGCTTCAGTGTCTCCAGGTCAGCTCCAGGTACCTGCTAAAGCCAGGAGAAGACAAAAAAAGAGCCTTTCCCTCCTTTAGAAGCAGTTTAGGGCAAGTGTTTTCAACCCTCTCTCAGCCATTTCTTCTCCAAAGCCCTGGAGAAAGAAATACCCTCAGGTTTGAGAAGCCATTGACCTTCCCCAAGCTGCTCCAGAGCCTGTTTCCAGAGCTTTTAAAACAGCCAACTCCAACCTGCTTGAAACCAAGTGGCCTGGGCAACAGTTTCCACACCTCCTTGAAAGAGGAACCAGCACAAGAGTTTCATTTGATTTCTCTTCATCTCCAAAACTCACTCGGGCCAGGGTGGCCCCTGGAAGCCACACCCAAAGGGGTAAAGAAATCCCTGCTACAGAAGATGGGAGGGAGGTCTCAAATCCTTGCAGGAGTGGTGATCTGGTGGACCCTCCTCTGCTCCAGCCTGTGTGGACAAGAAGGTTTGAAGGAGCCTGACAACCACGGAGAGCAGAGCAAGAGACTTCTGGAGCAATCCAGGAGATGAGGGGCCCAACCTGGAGCAATCCAGGAGATCTGGGGCCCAAGTTAGAGCAATCCAGGAGATCTGGGGTCCAAGCTGGAGCAATCCAGGAGATGAGGGGCCCAACCTGGAGCAATCCAGGAGATCTGGGGCCCAACCTGGAGCAATCCAGGAGATCTGGGGCTCAACCTGGAGCAATCCAGGAGATCTGGGGCCCAAGCTGGAGCAATCCAGGAGATCTGGGACCCAAGTCAGAGCAATCCAGGAGATCTGGGGCCCAAGTCAGAGCAATCCAGGAGATGAGGGGCCCAGGTTAGAGCAATCCAGGAGATGAGGGACCCAAGCTGGAGCAATCCAAGGGATGAGGGGCCCAAGGTGGAGCAATCCAGGAGATGAGGGGCTC